GTAAACCCCAAAAAATGAAATTGCATTTGGCAAACCACCATTTACAATTAAACAGAAGTTTGAAACGCTACATAAGTAAATGACTTTGTAATTACAGATTCCTGCTTGCACTTGCAGAAGAGTTAGCAGATACTTTTGAGACATTTAGAAGTTAGGGGCTGTTCATGGTGTGGACAAAAACAGACAGAAACATTCTTCAAAATGTCTTCTTTTGATTTCCACGGTTGAAAGGAAGATATGGAACAACGTGAGGTTAAGTAAATAACACAATTTTCATTTTTGGGTGAACCTCTTAACTAATTAACAAAAAAAAAAAAAATTATATATATATACAGTATATATTAGATGCAGTTTCCATAATGTGTTCATTTACTTATGTGAAAATAGCTTTGTGTTTGCTTAGTGGGGCTATTATAAAGTCTCTTTTCTCAGCTTTCTTTCAAACTCTCGTCGAAACTCTTTTGAAAAAAACTTTTTTTACTCAGTCTCTAATGGAGCATTTGGCAGCTTTGCTCCACACAGCTCTGCTGTTTTAACAGCCCCAAAACAAACTCATCAGAGAAAAATCCACCCTATATGCTGAGATAATAACAGCTTGCCATGATCTGTCATGATCTGAAATACTTCAGTGTACAGGGCTTTTCATACAAACCATGGTACCGCTGTCAACCGAATCGACTGTGTACAGAGCACCCTGAAATATTGGAAAGTTTTTCGCACTGAGCAGACCGCTGCACATTCCATATCAGCCTAAAGTCTCTGTGAAAATGTTCCTTTGTATCCAATAAAACATTTCAGAGAACTTTAACTGTATGTCCATACTTATAGAATCCTTGCTTTCTGACAGTCAGAGAATGGTCTATACTTTCTGAGTAAAGAACATGAGGGAACATGATGAAATGAGATTGCATGGATATAGATGTGTCTCCACAAACTTCTACGACATTTCCGAGCAGCAACTTCAGGCAAGTTAATCCTTGTCTTGACAGAATTACGGATCCTCCCCGTACACCGACTGATCCAAATCTGATCATTCGAAGTGTTAATGGAAGTTCCTCGTATATTTTGGTGAATGTGTTGACTTGTCCACCTTGCCAATCTTGTGGAAACTGATTGTAACTCTCTTGGCGAGGCAAAAAGACAGTACATTCCCCTTAAGCTTTAAGTTAGCTTCTGTGCTAGCATCTGTGGCTTATACTTCTATTTGGCACAGGAAATTAAACAACTCAATGGACCTGCCAAAGTCGATATTGATCCTTAATAGAACCATGTTGAATCAACAGTATTTGGGGGACTTCATGACCTGAGCATTTGTTCTTTTTGGTAATATTAGAATCCTGCAGATCTTTTATGGCACGACTAGCCTGCTCTGCGCTGCTTTGACATACTGATGATACAGTATGTATTTATAAAGCATTCCATAAAAGACAATGGAAAAGAAACAAATGATGTTTTCTCCCAGTGTTTGTGGAAGATCTGAGGGATTGCCTTCTGCTGTAACGGTATCTGTACAAATCTGTCTGTCTTTTGGCTGTCTCCAGGCTCCTAATTCACAACAATAACACTCAGACATCCAACATGCGAGAGGCTTGTGTGCTAGTTAAGTTGTTTATTTTGTCTCCTGTCACAAGAATAGAGAGAGAGAAAAAATTACACCCAAGCAAAAATATGAGCTTGTCTCATTCCAGTATGTATAAGAAAAACAAGGGGTTACTTTTTTTACAGCTTAACATGAGGCAGGTCTTTCTGTGAAGAGATGCAGCGTGTTAGTTTAACAGATAAGTGATCCAGGTCTCTGTGCCAAACCTAAACAAATTCCATTTCAGACAGCTCACCTCTACAACTTTTCTCTATCTCTGTTTCTATCTCAACCGCAGTCACTTGAAGTTTAGGGAAGGGCTCAAGGAGATTCAATTCATATTTGTGGTTACTGGGATTTATAAAGCCTTGCGTTTCATCTAAATGAAAACATCGTCAGCTCCTCAGCATTGTTGGTGGTTAGTTGGTCAAGTAACAATTATATTTATATAAATATTTATATTTCATATTTATATAATTATTTCAGATTTAGTTTTTTTTTTTTTTTATATTATTTTTATTACATTTTCTTGAAACACAAGACTGACACATGTACATACCGTGTCTGTAACAATACTTACTATGTACAGAAAAGAAAAGAAAACAAACAAACAAACACTAGGGGCTCATATTACATAAAAAGAAGGGCTGCACGATAAATCGCATGCGATATTTAACGCGCATCTTGTCAGAAAGCCGGTTCTGTAATCAGCGGTAATAAATAATAAAAATGGACTCCAGATTTTCTTAAATTTAGCTTGTTTACCCTTAAGCATATTTCAGATTTAGTTAAGTATTCTGGTGGAGTGTAAATTAAATTTGTGGGTACTGTGTCAAAATGCTATTCAATTAAATGTCAAAGTATGTAGAGCGGGTCTTCACCTTTTAAATAAAAAATAAACTTTTTCTTAGCTTTTGAAATTTATAGATGAAATTCAATGCACGAACAACAAGGAGATAGATCTTAATAACTGGGTAAATATGGAATCATATTGACAGTATAATTTAAATGGTAAGGATCATTGTATGATTTTTACCTTATAAATGAATCTGAGTAACAATTCAATTAGTTAGCTTCTTTTTTTTCTTCAAAATATTACTTCATTGGTACTTTGCAGGGGTGTGATGTACACGAGTAAGGCTGATGATACATGGGGCAACTTTTTTTGAGCAATGTTGCTTGCACACTTTCTCATTGAGGATGGGTAACAAATTTCTATCTGGATACTTTAGATCGGTCGTGGGCCCTGTGTCTCACCT